GATAGACTGAGGGAAACATTTCTTTCAATTATGAACGCAGGCAACATGTTCTGTTTGTAACACAGTCGACTCTGTGTGTCCCGATCCTTTCAGTAATGAAATTAGGTTTCAACTATCTAACACAGCAGGGTCTCAGTATCTCTCCCATGGTGGGGTACACACTGATAAAATCAACAGGACTGTAATCTGTGTGGAGAGTGAAAGGTTGGGACTGGCTTGAAGGTCTGTGGCAGGGACAAAAGGAAGCTTGTGAGAAACTCGTGAGAAATTTGCCTGAGTCTAATCCCACAGCCCGTCCTAATCCAGTTTTACTTGTCATTCTCACTTATGACTAATGCACTAGTCTCCACGACTGGAAATATTCAGAATTCACTCTGCTATTACATCAGCCCTGCAGAGCACCCTCAGCTGTCTGGAACGGTCGATGGCTGTGTCAGGGTTACACCCTTTGCATTTTCAGTAATTCCTTGCATTGCAAAAACTCCAAAGGTAGCAGATCATCAATGATAAATTTGGTTTAAGAAGTGCAGTTTGGAGTTTGGGCCTCCCTGGTGGCCTAGGGGTTAAGTCTCAGCGCTATCACTGTGACAGCCCACCAACGTGGCCTGAGTTCAATCCCTGACCAGGGAGCTGACCCACAAGACATAGAAGACATCTCCTGTCTCCCTGCTGCTCCCCTTAGCAGTGTATTCCAGTAGATCCACCTGTTCTGCTCCCACTCTGTCTCTGGTGAGTCCTCTCACCCCCTGAACCTCTGGCCTGTACCCCAGTTCTTGTATGTATAAATAAACAAGCATAAATCTTTAAAAAAAAAAACCCAACAAGTTAAAGTATGCATGACAAATTAAAAACATGATTTGTAGTGGACCCAACAAAGGGTAGCTATTTTTAATAATTACTATTTACCATTAAATAAATCAGTAGAACAATGAGCAAAGACTATATATAAAGACAATTCATGAAAGAATTAAAAACTGCCAATGCACACATAATATTCGGTGTGATTTATAGTCTAGGAATGCAGCCTACGTACATGTTTCCACAAATATGCAAAGATTTACCTTTGAAAATATGAACAAAAAGTCATAAATACTGAATAAAATATGGTGTGTTATCTTGCAGTCATTAATAAAAGATTTCAAATACTGACAAGGATAGTATCATCTCACATTTGTTAAAACACACCTTAAAAAACTCTTATTGTATTTTCTCAAGAAAACAGTATATCAGGGCCTCCCCAGTGGCGCAGCGGTTGAGCGCTGGGTTGCGAAGCTGCCCGCGACCTCTGCGGTGCCAGTTCGATCCCCGGCTGCTCCCCGGCCACCAAAGGAGGGTCCCACATGGCGCGCAGACCTCTCCTGCCGCCTGCTGCTCCCCTCAGCAGTGTACTTCGGTCCTTCTGCCTGCTCTGCTCCCCGCTCTGGCTCTGGTGAATTCTCTCACCCTCCCGGCTTCTGACTGTACCCAGTGTATGTATAAAACAAAACAAGCAAACAAACAAACAAATAAATAAAACATGCCTCTATAAAAAAAAAAAAGAAAAAGAAAACAGTATATCAAGTTGTGAACAATGATTTCCTAGGAATGTCATTCTAAGGAGCTTTCAGTTTATACTATTCTGTTTTGTTTGAATTTACAAAACAAATACTTGTGATATTTATAATCAGCAATTAAATCCCTTCTGGGAAAGAGAAAAGTTTGCATTTAGAAACTGATGAGAAAATACATTTCTATCTGATACGAAGAAAAATGGTGTCGTCTCCCTCTGCGGGCTATTTTCTTTCCAATTTTGGGTTTTGTTATAAGCTCTGCTTATAATTTTAAAGATAAAACATCTCAAAGGAAACTCAAGTGTCTTTACTCCTTAAATGGTTATTTATTTATTTTTATACACTGCTGAGGGGAGCAGCGGGGTGAGACAAGAGAGGTCTGCCTCACCACATGGGTTGCTCCCTGGCTGGCCGGGGATTGAACTCACGCTGCAGAGGCTGCGGACAGCTTCACAGCGCGGTGGTTAACCCCTTGCGCCACCAGGGAGGTCCTAAATGGTTATAATTTAATTGCGAGTGAGAATGTACCTCAGTTGGAGCTAATGCATAGATAACGGAACATCAGTTAATAGAAAGGTTTGGGATGTGAACTTTACAGAGGAGGTTTTCTAAATTATAAAATCCACACATTCAAGTATGTAGCCCAGTACGGGTAACAGACAAGCTCAACTATATGAATAGGGAGGGAGGTCTGCTGGGTAATCTAATCTTCCAGCCTCTCTCCTTTCCCCCACCCCACCCCAACTGTAGTCATTACTTTTTTAGGAAACCAAAAAATATAAAATGCATTTCAATATAAACATCGTAGCTAGACAGCCACTGATTTACGGAAACATGCTTGTTCAGACCCTTAGTAGAATATGGAAACGACCAACTACTTGCAAACACAAAATGCTTTAATGCTGTACATTTTAAAGTGTATTTCAATGAATATATTAAGTTGAAGGAAAAAGAATTTTCCTAACTGCTGAAGAAAACACAGGTTATGTGAAGACACGGTGGGCCCTTGGAAACTGGGTCATGCTTTGTAAGTCACCTGGGGATTCCCAATTGTTACAACACCCTTGGGGTGTGGCTGCTAATGATGATCTCCCCAGTAGGAGACAGAAGGGCAAAATGATTCTGCAGAGAACTTGAATAAAACCGAAGACCAGGAAGCTTCCTGCTGGTAGACAGTAGACCCTGTATGGATGCTTAAGGAAATGCTATTTTTTGAAAAGAGGAATCCATGAGGTGGAGACATTGTTTCTTTCCACTTAGCTGCTCAAGAGGCTGTGGAAGAGCTGGTTGTTTGAGCAACCTGAATTACAATTCATATTGTGAAGAGAGGCAAAGATTAGAAACAGGTGCCGCCCATGCTCCTCGTCCAAGTTGACGTGCAGTGTTTGGTATGAGCTCACCTCTCCACACCTGGAGACAGCCACAGCTCGGGCAAGTTGGAACAACTCGCTCCTCCACCCAGCACTCTCTTTGTAATACTCAAATGCAGCAACCAGAATTCCTTTAAAAAGTCGGATACCTGAAGGCAAATACTCCCATTTTTAGGGGATTCCTTCTGTAGGGTCAGGACTGGACACGGTGCAGGTTTTCTAGGATCCCATGCAGACCGGGTAAAGGAGGAGTCAGAGTCCTCAGTGGCTTTTGCAGGTCTTTTATTGGGGTTCAGCGGGTACGTGGCAGGCAGAGGTGCTGGGGGGCTGGGAGGCTGGCAGTCCTCCCAGCCCCCAGCAAATCCTCACTCTATCTGGGCTCTCTGGTGATCTCGGCTTCTCTTCGGCTTCTCTTTCGGCTTCTGCTGCTGCTTTCTCGGCTTCTTGCGTCCCTGTGATGCTGCCCTTAAAAGCACAGTCTTAGCCCAGGTGTACCCACTCCAGGCGCCCCCCATCAGGCGTGCATTCAGGATCGCAGGGTTCCCTCATCTATCCTGATGGCGGGAGGACAGAAAAGCCTGATACCTTTTACCTTACCCTACACCTCTATTAAGTGTTTTCTATCCAATTTATTCCGAATTCTGCTTCAGGGTTTCTTTTCTTAAAATCCACTTGGATGAGGTTACTCTTCGCTGAAATCTCCAGCAGGTCTTTTTCCTAGTAAAATTCAAACTCCACAGCAAAGCCATCCAACCCTTTCCCATCTACAGTTCCTGAAAATTCCTGCTTTTTCATTCACACTATTTTCCGCACATTTCAGTGCTCGTTTTGTCTGTGGAAACCTGCCTACGTCCCCTTTAAAGATGAGCTCAGGCGTTCTCTCTAGGCCTCCAATACTCTCCAAAGGCACTTACACCAGCTGTCCTGAGTGTGCAGCCGGTGCTCCTCAGGTGCTTCTCCCACCACCCCAAGAGGCCACACTACCCTGCCCCTTCACACAGCTACTTCACTGAGTCTCATAAAGAACCATTTTCTCCCATCAGGGCGTAAGTTCCTTAAAATAGATTCCATCTCTTTTTTTATTGCCTCAAAGCACATAGAACGACTTAACACGTGGTTTTTTTTTTTAATTCATTAAATTTTTCAGTTTATTTTTAAACATAGGTTTTTTTTTTTTAAAGACTTATTTTTTTATTTATTTATACAAGCACTGGGTACAGTCAGAAGCGCGGGAGGGTGAGAGGATTCACCAGAGCCAGAGCGGGGAGCAGAGCAGGCAGAAGGACCGAAGCACACTGCTGAGGGGAGCAGCGGGCGGCAGGAGAGGTCTGCGCGCCATGTGGGACCCTCCTCCGGTGGCCGGGGAGCAGCCGGGGATCGAACCAGCGCTGCAGAGGCTGCGGGCAGCTTCGCAACCCAGCGCTCAAACCGCTGCGCCACCGGGGAGGCCCTTCAGTTTATTTTTTAAAAATTATTTGCTTATGCATAGAGCTGGGGTGCAGGCCAGAGGTGTGAGGTGTGAAAGAGCAGAACAGGCGGGTCCACAGAAATACACTGCTGAGGGGAGCAGCAGGCGAGACAGGTGGTCTGCTGTGCCATGTGGGTCAGCTCCCTGGCCGGGGATTGATCAATGCGTGCTGTTGTGGTGACAGCACTGAGACTCAACCTCTAGGTCACTAGAGAGGTCCTACAAGTGTGTCCTTAATAAGCAATTAAACAAATGAAAAAAATAAGAGACAATTTTTGGAGAAATCAAAGCTTTTATAGGGCTTTTGACAGGGAGATAGGACATCGGTTAAGAACCAGGCTATGGGGCCTCCCTGGCGGCACAGGGGTTAAGTCTTAGCACTATCAAGCTAGCACCAGCCACTGTGGCATGAGTTTGATCCCCGGCCAGCCAGGGAGCAACCCACATGGTGCAGCAGACCTCTCCTGTCTCGCCCGCTGCTCCCCTCAGCAGTGTATTTCAGTAGATCTGCCTGTTCTTCCCACTCTGTCTCTGGTGAAGCCTCTCAACCTCCGCACCTCTGGCCCACACCCCAGTTCTATACATAAATAAATCTTAAAAAAAAAAAAAAGGCTGTGGAGGTCAGGGTCACTAGACTGCTTGCCTGCTGTGTGCCCTCAGCGTTTCCCTCTAAAAGTATCTGACTAACATGGTGATTGTGAAAATAGGGGAATACACAGATACCTAAGCATGAGATCTGTGACATATACTAGAGAGGTAACTTTAAGGTATCTGGGGTTGACTAGACCCTACATGAACAACCCTAGAGGGCACCCAAATAACTTCCATGACTTGGGGACAAGCAGGTCTTTAGCTGGATACTGGCCACTGGAACCACCTCCTAAATGTTGGCAGGTCCCTTTAACCTCTCTATACCACTGAAATTCCCTTATATTAGCGACATAAAGTGGCGATAACCTATCAGACAGTAATACCGAGTAAGATAATGTATGTAAAATAACTATGTAAACTAGTGTAAAGAATTACTTTTATTATGTAAACTCAGAAGTGGAAAGTATTTAACATTTATTAGCAGGTTCTGTGTGTGCCTTGAAAATAAATTTCCTCTTTTCATATGATTTTTTTTTCTCTTTATTAATAGAATAGTAAATTCGGTTACTAAGGTTCTCAAAATGAAAGCCAAATTGGGCGGTTGCAATTGGCGCCCTCTGCTGGCCTGAGCAGGACAGCACTTCCTGAGTCAGAATTTAAGATCATCGGAACGTTTATTTTCGTGACCTTGACTACAGAGATGTAATGACATTCTACAGCAGACAGACAGAAAGCACAGACTCACCTCTATCTTGTGTAGTGGACAATTAAAATCAATTTGTTTTTGTCTGCTTTTTATTTTCAACTATTAATTACCTTAGGGGTCCAACTCTGAAAAAGTTTTTTGTACAAAGGTTAGCAGCACTCCATCTTTCCCCAAATAATTACTCTAATAAAGACACTGCTGCTTCTGTATTTAAGGCTGGAATCCACTGAAAACACCCAAACTTGCAATTTCTTCTATTACTTTTGCTACCACTAAATTTTGCAGCCACATGATTTACTTCCAACTTATAAGGTTCGTATACACTGTCAATCACTTTTTGTATTCAAAGTCTTAGATTACGTATATGAAAACTCATTTATTAAACCTTTGTACACAAAGATGAACATACCTGTATAGCAAGCTCATATGAAGAATGAAGTTACAAAAAAGTAAGTGTTATTAAAACTGATGCATGTAAATCACTTACAAAAATACCCCGAATGGGGCAAAGCGGCTCATCCCTGATTTTCGTTTGGTTACCAGAGTTGAAATATGAATTTAAAATGGTTAGAATTCTTTTCTTTTAAAAAGTGATATATTAAACTTATGTACAGGATAATTAGCAAAACGTAGAAAGGGAAAACAATGTACAAAAGACAGATAAAAACCATCATTCCTGACAGACACTCACACTCCAAAAATAGTATAAACCTCAAGAAACGATCTTGAAACCAGCTCGTACTTAACCCCCCCCCCCAAGTTTTTATCAGTGACAATAAAACACAGTAAGCCAGCAAGCCCAGTTATTCCGTTCTTCAAAATAGGCCCGACTTTAGATCACAATGAGGCCTTGGAAGGATTGTTAAACATGGGAGGGCCAGTGAGAAGACAAGTCTGTCTGTCCACTAGTTAACAGAACGCGAAGTCACACTTAGATAACCCTTGGTGCCAAGTCAAGCAGTTATTCAGAAGCTTTTTTGTTTTTTTGCTGGTTTCGGGGAGAGTTCTTCAACAAGTTTCTTATTCTCAGGTACATTCCAGTAGATTCTGCCATATTCTCAAATTCAAATGGTGTTATTCCGGTTGCAAACTTGCTCATGTCAGGTACAGGACTATGAATTTTAGTGGCTGTTGAGGGGCTGGTGTCCACAAGAAGGGCTTTCTGGCTGCCTCCGTTCTGCACATCACAGTTCAGCACGACGCTGCCGTTACCGAGACACACATCCTTAGCGCCCACTTGAGCAGACGCTGCCTCTTCCTTCTCGCAAGGCACGGCAGCCTCAGGATCCGGACTCGAGGACAGTTCAACTTCTGATTTCTCTGCACAAGTGTCCATTAACTCAGGCTCGTCTGGCATCTGCTTTTCACATGCTTTTCCCTCCAGGACAGGGACAGGGAGCTCTAGCTCGTTTGGACAAGGGGAAGAGGCGACCGAATTCCCAGTCAGGGGCGTGTCCACAGGAATGTCGGAATCGCTGTTCCCGCTCTCCGCCTGCTCCAGGGCCGCCCATATTCGCCGCTGCTGCTCTTCCAGTTCCTCCAGAGTCAGCGCGTCTTCGTCCATGGCTGCAGATGCTGTTCTGGTCTGGGGTGAGTCACTGGGAGTCAGTGGCGGGGTGCCCTTGGGGAGCGGAGGATTGAAGATGGGTGGCGGAGTGCCCCGGGGCAGTGGGGGCTGAAACTGAAAAGCCTCCCCAGTCAGCGACGCCTGCGGGCGCTCCACATCTGCAACGAGAAAGTTGAGATACTTTAAGTTGTCGGGCACTTGGTGTCACGCCACACATGTGAACTCGGGTGAATTCAAGGCCCAAACTAACTGGCTTGAGAGGGGAAAATGCCATGGCGCCCCGGTTATCAAGGCCACCACCCAGGCCCTCACTCCACCTGAAGAGACTGTCAGGGGAGATGGCAGGACAAAACCTCTCGGGAAACCAGCGTCTGTGCAGTGTGGATCATTCTAGAGAGAACGAGGGCATGGAGGTCTACAGTCACTTCTAGGTGGCACAGGTTGGGTTCCTGGAAGGACACAGTAGGAAACCAGGCCGGAAATGCAGGCGGCTACATCACTGAGGCGGGGAAGGCCGGGGATGGAGCCAAGGACACAGACAGGGCACAGCGGTCTCCTTCCTGGGTCTGTCCCTCGTCTAGGCTACTCGCCAGGACCCGCATGTCCTACGGACACAACAGACCTGATGTGCCCAAAACGAAGGATCTTCCCCTAAAACCCGGACTTCTCTCCAACTCACTGTTCTCACGAATACAGTGGAATTTGGTCAAAGTCTTCAAAACTGAAACTCTAGTTTTCCCTTCCCTACTGCCACACCCCAGGCCCTTGGGTCTCTGGGTCCCAGCCTTTCCTGTAGACACTCACAACTGTCAGGTTATTTTCAGGCCTATCCCGCTGGCAAAGGGTACTGCAGCCATCCCTGCCTCTCGACTACTCATCTTTCTGAAACACAAATCTGGTCCTGCTCACCCTCCCACCTCATTAGAAACCTTTAGTGCCTCCCTGTCAGCGACAGGATACAGCCCTGTAGGCCTTATAAGGTTCTCTATGACCAAGCCTTGGCTGATTTCCCCAAGTCGCTCCTTACTGCATGGTTTACAAGCCACCGTCACTCTGTGGCCAGCCCAGCACTGATGCTTCCTGCTTCGGCACCCGCATTTCCCACTGCTGCTCATCTCCCTAGAAAGCCCCATAAGAGCGGCGCAGAGTCCTCGATAAGGGCTACCATGTCATCCAACACAGGGGCTCAGTTTTCCCTTTATGCCACCGTTAGACTGTAATAAGCTCAGCGGCAGCAAAATATGACGCCACCACTCTGCGTGTGTCCCAGTCGGCCACCACCTTTATAGGAAAGAGGCAGTTACAATCTGCAGTCCCCCGGCGGCAAAGCGAGGCAACGGAAGGCAGCAACTGTCTTATTAATCTTCTGTCCCTCAGGGTCTAGTGTAGAGGGGTCTGAAACACAGTGTTTGTTTTAAAAACTTGGAAAATTCAACAGAACAACATGGACTCTTGTAGGTTAGGAAAACCATTATTGTCCTGGCAGTAAGAAGAGAGTGATATACTGGTCCTTAGGTTTTAGGAAGTTAACTCCTAAGAAAAAAGAATGGATAAAGAAGTGAAAGGCTGGAAAAAAAAAATCAGTTGTAAGGATACCAAGAATGATGATAAAGAGAGAAAAGTCTAACTGAGGCGCAATTACAGAGATGCTGTCAGGATTCTGGTGGCTGGTTAGAAAGGGGGGCCAGGAGAAGGGTGGGTGGTGCTGACGGTGAACAAGACCTCTCAGCCTTGGTAATGACAAGGACACGGTTGCTACTAACTTCAGAAAGGAGCACGTAAGAGGAGGAAGAGGGAAAAAAAAAAAAGAGGAGGAAGAGGAGCAGGTGGCAGGGGACGAGAACACAGCATAACAATTACTTTTTTTGGTAATATATGTTACGTTTTTAAGAATAAACTATAACCAAAGCATTTAAATATCAAAATAAATACTATTAACATACAAATGTCAAAACAAAACAGGAAAAGTTGGGCCTCCCAGGTGGCACAAGGGGTTCAGTCTCAGCACTGAGAAGCTATCGGCAGCCACTGCATGAGTTCGATGCCCAGCCAGGGAGCAACCCACAGGGCGCAGCAGACCTCTCCTGTCTCCCCACTGCTCCCCTCAGCATTGTATTTCAGTAGATCCACCTGTTCTGCTCCCCACTCTCTCTGGTGAATCCTGTCACCATATCCTACCCACCGCCCCATATCTCTGAGTTCTTGGATGCATAAATATTTTTTTTTAAAAAATAGGAAAAGACATTCAGGTAGTTATATTTCACAATTGCAGTGATTTGCCCATGTCCCCACAGGCTTGTGAGATGGGCCCACTTCACTCATAACACATTTATTATTAGCTACTAATAACATTTTCCACAGGAAAAATGACAAGGAGACCCACTCACTGTTTCTCTTCCTGGGAACAATCTGCCCACAGAAGGCCCCTGCACTGCTACTCCTGACAGAGCTCTGCCCTGCAGGAAAAAAGCTGGTGGGGGGTCATGGTGGCACTGGGGAGGGAAGGATATTTACCTGAGTGTGAATAAGCCAGCCTAGTTCAACCAGCAGGCCCTCTTGGCGCTTTGGCTAAGCAGTCCTAAAACTTGTACCTGGCTTTGATAATTTGATTGTTGATGATCATTCAAGAACTCAGGTAGGGAAGAGGGTGGCTATTAACACCCCCAGAAACCTGATGCCTGGATATGGACAGGGAACACTGAGGAGTAACAGCAACAGGATGGAGTGACTGGGGGTCGGGAGACATAGGAAGGCCTCGCGCTTTACAGCACCTGGCCTTTGTAGAGGCTCCTGCAGGTCCATCTCTAAAGTGTGCAGCTGGGACAAGAGCTCTTGTCACGTGTTTGCCAGCAGCAGGTGGGTGCATCATATTGTGGCTCTGTTTACAGGTGTGGCTTTATCTCAAGAGGCACAAGTTAAGAAGCTCCCTTTGCTTATGGCTGGGACCAGAGGGTGCTTAGTAAGTGGACATTTGACATTTGAATGCCCTAGGACATTTGAATGCCCTTTGCCTCAGCAAACACCAGCAGAGGCTTTGGTAAGCAAGTGCGGCCAATGAAAGGATTCAGTTCCATGCTGCAGGGGGAAGGCAAGCTGGAGGGTTAAAGCGAAGGCTTCAGAGAGCTGCTACCATGGCCTTCTAGCCAGGTACAGTGTCTCCGCAGCAAGAGTGGTTGAGGCAAAAGTTTGAAGGGGTGGGATGCCAATGTGTCATTTCAGGTCTTGTAGGCATGGGGAGTACAGAAAATTTGTTCTACAAGTGCTCTGTCTGCATCCCAGAGACCCAGTGAGGTTCTAAGACAACTGTTCACCTAGACTTGTTAGTTAGGCAAGTGCCATCTTTTGCCCCAAATTCCAGTCTGGCTGAGAACCATGGAAGGAATGTGGAGGCACCAAACTTGGATCCTTAGCCTGTGGTCTTGGGGTCAAGTTTCATTTCACCACGAGGGTTCAGGACTGGTAAATTTTATGAGAGAGATAAACTTCTCCTGGGAGGCCTGTCTTTTAGGCCTTAGCAATCCTCTAACTTAAAAATAAAAGAAAAAGCCCGCAGCATAGGCCTGAAAATACCTGCACAGCGTGTGTGGACTCAACGACAGGGGTGCGCCACCGCCAACTCTGACCGCTGAGAGATGGCACCCACGTCTGAAACGGCTCACAGCACTAGCATAAATGGCTTTCCCCATAGGCACCTAAGTGCCTAAGACCAAAATTACTTCTGTCAGGGAGATTTCTTCCAACTAACTTTAAGTATCTGGTAGTGACTTAACATTCTTGAGTGACAGAAACCAAGATTTTTGTCCTCATTAGAAACCTTGGCTATGGCCTTTGATAACATGGATAAGAGAACATGGATAAGAAACCCAATTTTGTCTGGGACAACTGCTTCCTGGGCTTTGGGAATGCTTTTTTGTTTGTTTTTTAAGGACTTTTTTTTTTTAATTTTTTTTTTTTTGTGGGACCCTCGCTGGTGGCTGGGGATCGAACTGGTGCTGCAGAGGCTGTGGGCAGCCTCGCAAGCCAGCGCTCAACCGCTGTGCCACCAGGGGGGCCCTATTTTTTATTTATACAATAGCTGGGGTATAGGCCAGAGGCGCAGGAGGTGAGAGGATTCACCACAGACAGAGTGGGGAGCAGAACAGGCAGACAGACCGAAAGCACTGCTGAGGGGAGCAACGGGTGAGACAGGAGAGCTCTGCTGTGCCATGTGGGTTTCTCCCTGGCCGGCCGGGAATCAAACCCATGCTGCAGAGGCTGCGGACAGCTTCACAGGCGGCAGTCAACCTGCTGCGCCACCGGGGAGGCCCGGGGAATTGATTGTTTGCAAAATTTCATAGGTATGTGGCAAAAGTTTGTACTAATTCTATGCTTCCTAATAACTCTCTAGCCTGTCAAAAGTGAGGCTGATACTGACGTAAAACTGTAGGCACCGGAAGCCCAGGCTGTGAACTCTATTCAGGCATCAAGAATGCTCTTGGCTGAGATTAAGCAGAGTTAAAAAATTAGGGGGAATGGTTTGGGGACTCTGAGGTCACTCATGTAAAATAATTTAATTTCGGACTTCAATGCCTCTGGACTGTAAGGGGATTTAATCTGTCACCTTTAAATTCTCCCTGGGAATATGAAAATGGAAAGGTGGTTTACATTCAAATTTATTCAATAGAAGTCGAGTACATTCATTTCCATTGTTGGCTCCTTACTATTAGAGTGTCTGTATGCATTTTATCTTAATGTTGCCATTTAACCTCACTTCAGAATACCTGCTGTTTTATAGGATCAAATAGCTGGATATAATCTGGGATGAAAAATAGAATAAGGAGTGAATTCAGAGGAGCCTTAAGAGTTTAACCAATTAACACAAAGTTCAGATCCATTCCAGTACCTTCTGGGGGCAAAATCTGAGCTATTACTCATCAACTACTAACCCTAACCCTAACCCCAACCCCACGAGAAAACGCAGAGGCGCAGTGGCTGGTGTAGAGGAAGGGAGGCAGGTCTCAAGAAGTGGGAGCAGAACTGTCCTGAGACACTGGAGATCTGCTGAGGACCTCCAGGCCTGAGGGACTGCAGGCCGTGGTCACACCCAGAGTGCTAAGAGAACAAAAGGCAAGCAAGGCCTTCACTCCAGTGGAGATTTCCAGGAGGCCAGGCGCGAGGTACTGAAGTAACAGAGTCGGGAAGAACAGCCGAGAAAGGGAGGCTCAGCTGCTGTGCCTGCTCTTGGGACCAGCTGTCGCCAGACACACGTTCCCCGATCCTCGCAGGGGCAGTGCGGATGCAGGGCGGCTGGGGTGGGTCTGCCGGCCTGTCTGACCCTCACGCCCAGATCTGTCTTCCAACTCAACTTTTATCAGTAGTCGCAGAAATGCTCTGATCACTAAGAATAAAAGATTTACTCTTTTGTTAGTGCTCCTAAAGGTTCCCCCTTCTTTCGGAACTCAGGAATAGACAAGTGCATCCACCTTCTCATGACATTAGAAGCGCAGGCCGCAACCTACCTGAGTCGAGCTCCATGTCCGCGGGCGAGGCTGCCGAGCCGCTGTCCTTCTTCTGCTTCTTGGGACTCCCAGGGCTGGACTGGGACGAAGACCTCTTGCTGCTGCCAGACCTCACGCTCGCCTAATGGAGGGGCCAAACCAAACACAGGTTACGTGGGTGGACTAGAAATCAACAGCGTCCCTTCACTGAAGCTAGGTAACCAGTGTATTTAGCTACTTTCCCCCTTTAGAGACATCAGAAAACAAAGCGATTTATATGCAAAGCAAGAAAAGGCAATAAAGATGCAAATGAGTCACTAAATCCACAGATAAATGTAATCAATTTTTTAAAACCACATCCCGACAATCTACTCACAGATTGGAAGTTAGAGGTCAGGTAGCTGGCAAACACGTCCTTCCGCTGACAGGCCTGCATCGGTATGGAGCCGAACAGCCTCCATTCCTAGTGAGGAAGAGAGAAGGAACAAATAGGCACACATTTGGAAAGTGTCGTACTGTGAGATTTATCTCAAAGGGGCAGAGGAAGCCTCAAATTCCATTCCTGCTTTGCATGTGACTTTCCTCTTTGGGAGAATTAATGCAAGTAACGGTGCCCTGTAGGGAAACAAGACAACTACTGTAGAACGAGCAGCACTGAAGACTGAGAGGCTACTTGACAAAACCATTTTGCCAAAAAAGGTTCTACCTACTACAAGCAGAAGTTACAGCAGAAACAATATGGACCCCCCAGGAGTACATGGCCCAACATCTCCCATCATGCACTGGCACAGCTCACTGCTCACTTCTCCTAATATTTCCTCTTGCTATCTTGGAGTAAGGCTTCTGTCTTCTGTTTGTTCCTTTCCAACCTGTTTTCTAATCTCTAAGGCTCAACATCACTTGTTTCTCTCTCATCTGCAACAGTACAGTAAACAGTGGTTCTCACTAAGAATCATTCTGGGCTCTGCAATCTAACACTAGATTGCAGGGTGTGGTGAGTCAAGTGCAAGGTGGGATTTGAGAATGTGTACTTCTGACCAGCACCTGAATGGGAGTCCAGTGTAGGCTGGGATGTGAACTCACTTCCAGAAGCAATGATAGTTTGTGCCTTGCAATTTAGCCCTTAATTACAGTCTTGTCTCTGACCAGTTTACCAGACTCTTTTAAGTTCAGACTTTTGACTTCTTCTCTAATGTCCAGTTCCTAAGAATACCAAAAATGCATTTCTATTTCCATTTTATTTTTTTCAGATTTATTTTTATTTATTTATGCATACAAGGACTGGGGTGCAGGCGGGAGGTGAGGGGAGTGAGAGAATTCACCAGTGATAGAGTGGGGAGCAGAAAAGGCGGATCTACTGATATACACTGCTGAGGGGAGCAGTGGGGAGAGAGGAGAGGTCTGCTGCGCCATGTGGGCCAGCACCTTGTTTGGGGATCGAACTCATGCTGCAGTGGCTGGTGAGAGCTTGAAAGTGCTGAGATCTTACTCCCTGCACCACCAGGGAGGCCCTAAAATGCATTTTTATTATGAAATCACCACTACCATCACCACCACAACAGCTGAATTGTGAACCAAAAGTTGGATGAGTGAGTGTAGAATACCATTCCCATACAGAATGAAAAATTTTACTTTCAGCAGGGAGTAAGGAAGAAAGAGAGATTTTAAATTTTTACTTCCCAAGTAATTCTGTAAAACTTAAAATACTACCTCAGAACCATTCCATATTTTAAAAATAATCTTAATTTTAGAACAGTTTTAGATTTATAGACTCAAACCATTATATCTTAGTTTTAAGGCATAAAATCAGAAAAAAAGTTTTGTTTTGTTTTTTGATGAATGCAAAGTTTCACTTAAGTTTCTAGAAAACAGGGCCTCCCTGGTAGCACCAAGGGGTGAAGTACAGCACTGTGAAGCTATCCACAGCCTCTGCAGCATGAGTTCAATCCCAGGTTGGCCAGGAAGCAACCCACATGGCTCAGCAGACTGCTCCTGTCTTGCCCACTGCTCCCCTCAGCAGTGTATTTCAGTCAGTCTGCCTGTTCTGTTCCCCACTCTGTCTCTGGTGAATTCTCTCACCATCCACCCCCTGCACCTCTGGCCTGTATCCATTCTTGTATGCATAAATAAATAAATCTTTAAAAAAAAATTCTAAAAAACATAAAGGATGCTAAACACATAAGCAACACAGTTCTTTGTGTAATAGTGCTACATGAGCTAATGTTCGGAAAATATTTAAACATGATAATATCACATCTCAGAACACCACCACCACCACAATATACTTACATCCAGGATTCCCTTGGGAGTAGATATGTTGAAACCCGGATAGTTCACCAGTTTCGAGAGGTCGTAAGTGACACTCTGATGCTGCTGCACCTCCCCCGCTTCTGCTTCCCCATCAGCATCGTCTGTCACAGACCATCAGCAGAGTTAATACGGCAACAGCATTATTCAGAGAATGGCTTTAACTATAATTTGTCAGAATCATTAGATTAGAAATATAAAACAATGCCAACATGGTACTTTGATTAAAAAAATAAGTATTTAAAATCTTGGGAAACTGGTTATTCCTTGGGTTGCTTGAAAGTCTGTTTTGTACTGACCTTATGATTTGCTTCATTCTAGACTGTAGTTCCTTTTTAAAAAGATTTGTTTATTTATGCATACAAGAACTGGAGTGTAGGCCAGAGGTATGGGGAGGGGGGCGATGGTGGTGAGAGGATTCACCATGTACAGAGTGGGAAGCAAAACAGATGGATCTACTGAAATACACTACTGAAGGGAGCAGCAGGCAAGACAGGAGAGGTCTGCTACACCATATATGGGTTAGCTCCCTGGCCGGGGATCGAACTCAGGCCTCTGTGGTATTAAGAAATGAGACAACCCATAGGCCACCAGGGAGGTCCTGTTTCTAATTTCTTGATCATATTCAACATTATAAAAACATCATTATACACAAACATTTCCTCATGCATGTGTGAATGCTTTTTAGAGCAGATACCTATAAGAGGAACTCGACACTATAAGAGGGTCTGAGTAGTCTAACTTCTACAGGTCTCTCTCTGGGCATTTATGTATGTATTTCTGTTACCATTACTGAAAAAGGCAAGAGATTATGAGGATTTGTTGGCGAGTTGGTAATTTGGCCTAGGTAGTCAAGCAAGTCCAGATATCCATCTAATAATTTTCAAGGAAGTTTTATTCCTACATTGTAAAACAAAAGAAACATTATCAAACTGTTTTAGTTAACTAAGCACACACTAAACAAGCCAACAATTCCTATCATATTTTGATTCTTCAATGAAAAAAAAAGAAAAAAATGACAACACTTAAGCTGACTTATCTAACCTAACATGCTATACCTCTTCCATCATAGAGCGCAAGCCCTGAATTCTCCAACTCTGCCTCTTTGAGCCACCCGGGCGGGTATCCGAGCTGGCGCATTCGATATATAAAAGGTGGAAGACTCTTATCCGTCACCCCCAGAGCATCCTGAAGTTCCTCGCTAAGTAAAATGAGAAGAGGAAGAGAAAAATACTGTTATTTGAATTAAAACACACACTTCTGATTTTTTTTTTTAAAGATTTTATTTATTTATATAAAAACCGGGGTACAGGCCAGATGTGCAGGAGGGTGAGAGGACCCACCAGAGACAGAGTGGGAAACAGAACAGGCAGACAGTTCAAAATACACTGCTGAGGGGAGCAGCGGGGAGACAGGAGAGGTCTGTGCACCATGTGGGCTTCTCCCTGGCCGCCGAGATCGAACCGGCGCTGCAGAGGCTGCGGACAGCTTCACAGCACGGCACTCAACTGCCTGCGCCACCAGGGAGGCCCATACTTCTAATATATTAAAATAATTCTGTCTTGCCCCCTCCGTGGGCGGCCGTGGCCAGGTGGCGTCGGCGTCGGAGGCCGGGGCTGGGGCCGTGTGGCGGCCCCCGCCTCGCCCGCCCCACCCGTCCCAGGTACCTAGCGCGTTCCGGCGCGGTGGTTTAAAGACCCCTTGGGGGGGGTCGGCCTTGCCCGCCTTGGGTCGGGGCGGTTGGGCCCGTGAGGAGGTTTTGGGGGGGGGGGGCAAGGTCAAAAAAAAGAAAAAAAAAAAAAAATTCTGTCTTATATTACATAGCATGTGGCATGTGCCTAATAGAATTGTTAAGATTTCAATGAAAGTTTCTGAAGGACGGACATTATCCAGTGTCATGCTAGTGTACCCTTAAATATTAATTTTACCCCAGGGACTCCCCTGGTGGCACAGGTAGTTGAGCGCAGCGCTGTGAAGCTGCCCGCAGCCTCTACAGCGCAGGTTTGATTCTGGCGGGCTGGCAAGAAACCCACATGGTGTGGCATATCTCTCCTATCTCGCCTGCTGCTCCCCTCGGCAGTGTATTTCAGTCAGTCTGCCCTGTTTCCCACTCTGTCTCTGGTGAATCCTCTCACCCTCCTGCATGTCTGGCCTGTGTCCTGGTTCTTGTATGTGTGAATAAATAAACTTAAAAAAAAAAAATTACCCTCAAATACACAAAACATTCTAAATACTGGGGAAATAGAAATGGCACCCTATGGTAAAATTACAGGTACCTAATAACTCCGGGTTTGAATCTTCCAAATCTTTCCTCGACCTCTTCTGCATGGTATCGCTGCTGAAAATTCTGACTGTTCGTCTCACCACAGGCATCCATATACTCTTTCCTTTTTTCACTTATTCGGGCAGCATTACGGGGCTGAATGGTAATGTATTTGGAAAGAATGGTATCAAGCAATTTAGAAATAATCCAGAAATTAAGGAAATATAGGTGTTTTGTTTAAGGTCAAGCAAACAGAGTATCTGTTTTCATGTAAAAGGCATAAGTATAAAAAAGGGCAGATGCTGCAGAAAAACAAGCAAGGAAAAGAAGTTACTTTAACTTATTACCTTGACATTATAACATAAAATCAAGTTTTTACAGTCAACTCTCTAAAAATTAATTATCCTATGTTCCATTCACCTCAAGCACAGACCACTGTAAATTATACTTTTTTAATCGAGCCTCTTAAAGTTAGGTAAGAATTTGGAAAGACTTTACATTCAAGGACTATAGGGAGATTCTTCATATCACACAAGGCCATAAACATGTCACAAACATGAGAAAGCTCTGGTCCAAAGATTTTTTTATATGAGAAAAATTTACCATTGGGCAGTCTTTCATCTGATGTTCTTCAGAACCACAATTGAAACAGTGAGGCTTTGGCCTATTTGTCAAAAAACAAAGATTTTCACAATGTAATGAAATCATAAGAACAAATCAATAAAATTCTTTATGATAGCAAACTGTATTAGAGAGACAAGGAGGCACAGAGACCGCAGATTATTAACATCTGCACAATTAGTACACTTTCACCTGTACTTAGTGACATAAACAAACAGTACTTTTATTGTCTTTTAACCAAGAACCCTTATGTTCCTGACTGATCTGTTACCTCTTGAATTTTGTCAGTGGTTCGAAACAGAAGAATCGAGGCAAACAGATGATTCGATTTCCTTTGGTTAATACGGGAAGGGGCAAATGGTTATAAGACAGCAATCAAATTGCCAGCAACAATGATACCTTTCCACCCACCCAGACACCTTGGGAATGAACCAATGAATTCCCATCAATAGATGACTGACTTGAACATTTAATATATGTCTATACATTGAAATGCCAGCTCAAACTGTAATTAACTTTATAGCAACCCAGCAATTAAGACTAATATCTATTGAAGCTAAAGGAGCTTATGATTTTGGTTTTAAATAAAAGAAGAAAACAAAAACAACTGCCCACACAAACCTTTTTGCCTTTACTTGTATTTCTTGCCCTTCTAGAGAAACAATGTGGCTGAAGACTTGCTGGTACCTTTAGTAAATTTTATTAAGGAATAGTTATCATAGTCTGCAAAATTTGGTAAATGTTTTAAAAGGTGAACTTATTGGCAAGATGCATAAAAGATCTTCATTCACTATGTAGGATACTTGGGTATTTCCCATCCTTCGGTAAGCTGAGGGTTTTCATTTAGTAGCGGTTGCCCCAATTTATCAAGGCAAAAATTAGTAAAATACAGGACACTTCCTACAACCTGCAGAAAACAAGTCAAAAATATTGCTATTTGAAAATGCAGGAAAAAAGACATTAAATAATGTAAGACTAAGATTAATTGTTTTAACAAATTTTTGTTTGGATAAAATCATCAGAAATAATCAACTCCTTAGTGAAAGGAGCCAGATTTTGATGTGCAAATAAAAGCTACGTCTTTAAGCTCCCCGCTGTCTCCGAGCTCACTGACTTTTCTCTCTGGGGCGCCTCACTATCTTCTGCACTCTCTCCAGACTTAAAAAATAAAAAATTTGACTCTCGCATTCCACCCCCACCCCCCGTTCCTCATTTCTCTGCAGCAAGACCCTCCGGGGAGCTGTCTGTGTCCCGTCTCCTTTCCTTTCCTCCCCTCTTTGCCCTTCAAACGCTGGAGAAAATTTTATATGATAAAGTTGAAAAACGGCACAAACAAAACCATGTACTCTCTACCTAAACTCACCAATTGTCAACTGACATTTTTGTGCATGTCTCCCCCCGCCCCCTTACCAAGCCACCAGCAGAAAGACATCCCCACTCCTATCACCTTAGTCTAAGTCACCATTTTCCCTTGTCCGAGGTTAATACAAACATCCTAACTGGTCTTTAGCTTGTGCATATAACCACACACAGACTATTTTCCTCGGACTTTACCTCTAACATACTTTGAGAAGCCTTTGATGAATAAGAACCTTCTCCTACGAACCACTGCCACACCTAAGAAATAACTCCCTAACATCACCTCTCTCCAATCTATATTCAGCCTTCCCCTAGTGGTCACTTTAAAATGCCTTTCATAGCTTCTTTTAAAAACCCAAGCCAGTATTTGATGAGGATTCTCATGTTGCATCCAGATGTTGTCCTTTTTTGTCTCTTCTAATCTAGAACACCCTCCCCACTTTTTTTAAACGGCACTGTGTTCCCCCCAGGACGTCTCCAGGAAGGCTTCTGACAGGGCACTAGTAAGCTCCTGACAGTGGAGCTCTCCGGGGAGCCACACACAGCCAAATTTTCAACCATCGGCTCCCATCTTCATCTTAACCTAGCAGCAATCACTGGTGCTGCGGACTCCTTCCTTCCTTCTAGAAAGCCTTCCGTTGGGTGCCTGGACACTCCACTTTTGTTTTTCTTCCTACCTTGTTGACCAATCCTGCTCAGTCTTCTTTGCTAGATCCCTTTCTCTAAGGCTCACTGCTCAGTCCTCCTCTCCACTCTCACTCCCAGGTGACTCACCCAGAACCAAGGCACGAGCTATAATTTATAAGCTGATAAACCCCAAATGTCCAGTTCTGGTTCCTGAACGCCAATCCTGCATATGTTAAGTACTGCCTTGACAGCTCTCGCCCGACACGTAACAGACATTTCAAACTCACTCATTGAAGACTGCACTGGATTCCTACTCGCTCCTTCCTAAACCTGCTCCTCCATCCAATCTTTCCCATCACAGAAAAGGTAACAAGATTCTTCCAGCTGCTGAAGCACTCTCACCACTCTAGCTTTCATATTCTACATCCAACTAACCAATGTTTGATCAACTCTACTCTCAAAGCACATTCAGGTTCTAACACTTCTCATCACACCACTTTCACTCTAGTCTAAGTTGCCATTTTCTCTCACCTGACATCAATATAGTAATATCCTACTTGGGCTTCGGCTTCCACTTGCAAGCAGCTATAGACTACCTGCCAGTTCTTTTAAGAATTCAAGTCCTATCATGCCACATTTCTGCATAAACCTTCCAAGAGCCTCTCATCTCACTCAGAGTAAAATCCAAAGTCCTTATTGTGGCCTATAACACAACATAAAGATTCGGTAACATATACTGGAGACAGGAGACCTAGATTCAAACCTGGTTTTGCCGCTTACTAGCCAAGGGGTGACCAACTCGGCTTCCCGTGTCTGTTTCCTCATCTGTGACAAAAGGAACCATAGCACCTTCCCGGGAATATTCATAATGCACTGAGACTGAGGCTGGGGAGATTGTGAGCAATTTGTGCTTGCCTCCACCTCACAGCTTCCCCGCTCTTCCAGCTCAGTGTGAGGCTCAGCCCCGCAGGCTGTTCAGGTCTTGGTTCACTAACCACTCACTACACAAACCAAGGAGCAGCCAGGTACTCTAATTCCCCATCCTGCTTTACTTGTGCACCCCATTAGAATTAACTGAGAGTGGGGACTTTGCCCCTTGTACCACTGCTGTGTTCCTAGATCCTAGAATATTCCCTGGCCCAAGGAGCAATCAGTAAATATTTATTAGTACCTACCCAAGAACAAAATAAATACACAAAATTTCCAGTTTTCAGAAAGATGCTATTCTAAATCCTAGAACTTAGCATTAGAAAGAAAATGAAAAATAATCTGGTTAAATTTCAGACATTTTTCTTTCAAGATCCAAGAGAGGATCTTGGTCTTTGACTATTTATAGTTCCACAGAGTTCACATTTTTTAATGAGACATACCATTTCATTTTTCACATCTCTGACAGATTTCTGCTTTCTGAAAGTTGAGTTTGAAATGTGCTTTTCTGTACTTAATTCAATTATGGTTCCTAATTCTTCCACTCGACACTACAGGGTAACTCAAAATGGCGCCGTTTGTAAATAATGCCATAGTCACATTCACAGAGATGTAACATGCTTGTCTTTTCAATAAGGCCTGTGGGCTCGTCATCACTCCAGCACCCCCCTGCCCTCAGAAATTGGACACAACCACCTCATAAACATGAAAACTCATGTTTCTTTAACAGAATTCAGGATTATCTTCCTTTTAAAAAAAAAAATAGGATGTAAAAATCACACTTCATTGCATCAAAGCTGCTGAACTGTGATCAGGTACGGAAAGGCCAATGTGGCTCATAGCTGTTGAGTTTCTTCTATTTTCTGCCCACTATTTAAGTCTGTCAGCATATTTAATTTCATATTTGCAATCTGTTATATTAGCTCTTTGTTCCTCTCAGTTTCACCCATCTCCAAGCTCCACAACTACGCTTTCTCTATCTTTGAATTCTTGAAAAAAAAAACACAAAGAGGTTGGTCAGGACAAAAACTAAGTTCCCCAAAGTGGGCCTACTGTGTCTCCAAGTCACAACACAATCGTTATTAAAAAGCAAAATATAATATGTAGAGGCTGAAGTCTACACTATTGCTCATAACAAATTCAGTAACTGTGCAAACACTTGACAACCTGTGACTACACTATCATTCCAGCGCCACCCAACTGACATAGGATAGGAAACATAACTGCAGAATTCAGAGCTAATATATGCAAACTTACACTAAAAGCTTCCTTGTTGTTTTTAGAAGCACAGGACTCTTCTACTTTATGATCCTCTTCTAACATAACACTGGAAGGCTAACACAAAGAAAAACACATGTTATGAGGGATAACCAATTATTAGTGACTTTAAATTTCAAGTATTAGGAATATGAATATACATACTCCTTTATTTTCTAATAGACATTATTAAGGTGTATAAAATTTGAATTCATCACTGTGATGCTAGGATGAGTGTACAAGCTGGGAATGAATGAAATTTCACAAGTAGGAAAACTAAAGAATTACAAAGACAGCATTTTCTGAAGCACTAACATATGCTATGACTTTGAATTAATGAATATTATGGAATGTTCTAGAGAGGCAGACTTTATCTTGAAATTAGATAACAGGAAAGATTAAAAACATAATTTTATATTACTGGCTGATATTGACAATGTAACTCAGCATTCGAGCTACTATAAATTTTTGAAGTTTTTGAAGTGCTCCTTGAATCAAAAATTAAATTATATATATTTTTAAAGATTTATTTATACAAGAACTGGGGTATAGGTCAGAGGCTCGGGAGGGTGAGAGGACTCACCAGAGACAGAGCGGGCAACAGAACAGGCAGACTGACGATATACACTGCTGAGGGGAGCAGTGGGTGAGTCTGGAGAGGTCTGCTGCGCCGTGTGGGTTTCTCCCTGGCCGGCCAGGAATCAAACCCATGCTGCAGAGGCTGCGGACAGCTTCACAGTAGGCGCTCAACCCGAGGCGCCACAGGGAGGCCCTAAATAATATTGCTTTTACTGCTAAATATATTGTTTCTTAAATACTTAGAAATTGTAGGGGCCTCCTTGATTGCGCAAGGGGTTAAGCACAGCACTGAGAAGCTGTTTTTGCAGCCTCTGCAGCATGAGTTCTATCCCCGGCCGGCCAGGGACCTACCCACATGGCGCAGCAGACCTCTCCTGCCTCGCCTGCTACTCCCTTCAGCAGTGTATTGCAGTCAGTCTGCCTGTTCTGTTCCCTACGCTGTCTCTGGTGAATCCTCTCACCCCCCACATCTCTGGCCTGTACCCCAGTTCTTGTAAGCATAAATAAATAAATCTTTAAAAATTATATTTAGAAATTATATGTGACAGGTAAAAACAAAAAGGGAAACACTAAAGTTTTAATTAATCAGAATAGTCTGTTCTCCAATCTCTGAGACACTACCTACCTCAATTTTTAGTTTAGAAAAAGCCCAGAGATCACATTTCTGACCTTTAATATAAATTCACATTCTAATAGTCACACAGTGACATTTCTAGATTTCTTTGGGCTATTTTTTCTTTTTAACCAACAGAGGAAGAAAAAAAAATGGCACTGGAGCCTGTTTGTTTTAGATACAAAGAATACATCTTTTATAAGTTCTAAAACTATAGACTTGTTTTTTGGCATAAAATTAATTTTCTACTCAAAACCACGCATCTCAGTTAGGGGGTAGGAAAAAAAGTCTTTAATTTCGAGTGTAGCCAAGTCTGAATATGATTCTCCTGAGAAAAGTAGGAGAAAAACACAATTCAAAAAAAAAAAACCCATGGCTGCTTTCGTCAGACTACAGAGAAGGAAGCAGTGAAGGATTTGAGGTGAACAGGCAATCTTAACAATCACTGTGATTTGATTCAAGAGTAGCCCCATGACCTAATGATTGGTAGTGAAAAACATGACCTATTAATGTCTTTTAAGTTTGAAATACCTGGGGCAAAAGATTAAAGGAAGTCTTTTCCACATCATTTTTCTGCTGGTCCTCAAATCTTCTGACTAAATTTGACACAAATTCCTCTATTTCTTGATGATATTGCCTGTATAAGAGGATGAAATAGTCAGAATCCAGACAGAGTAAAACATCCACTAGGAAAACTTAAGCATTGCTACAAGTTGTCAGGACATTTTGTTATTTTGTTTGTTAACACCTTCTTTGTAACACTCAACTACTTCTTGGAAAAAAATGCACATTGTTGCCAAGTTAACCAAACCATTATGATAACCTAACACTCCTTGGCCTTATAGCAGCTGGCAAACATTTATGCCAAAAATGTGTGGGTTTTATTTACAAATTTTATGTACTTAATCCTGCTAGGTACATAATATATGTGTATTTTAAAAAATTCAGTGTAATTCATTTATACAGAGAAATATATCTGGACTGATGTATTTATATCTTTCCCCTACCCCCAATTTTCATTCCCAATGGCCAAAATATATTTCACATAATAGTTGACATTGAGGGCCTCCCCGGTGGTGCAGGGGTTAAACACAGTGCTATCAAGCTACTGCCAGCCACTGCAGGACAAGTTTGATCCCCGGCCATCAAAGGAGCTACTCACATGTCACAGCAGACCTCTCCTGACTTGCCTGCTGCTCCCCTCAGCAGTGGATTTCAGTCAGTCTGCCTGTTCCACTCCCCAGTCTCTCTGGTGAATCCTCTCACCCCCTGCCCCCGCACCTCTGGCTTGTACCCCAGTTCTTGTATGCATAAATAAATAAATTAAAAAAAAAAACAGTCAACATTGATTTGACAGAATCATCACTATAAATCTGTTGTGATATAGGGTTTTTTGTTCTCCAACTTAATTTTTTTTTAAGATTTATTTATTTATTTATACAAGCACTGGGTACAGTCAGAAGCACAGGAGGGTGAGAGAATTCACCAGAGCCAGAGCAGAGAACAGAACAGGCAGACTGATGAAGTACACTGCTGAGGGGAGCAGCGGGCAGCAGGAGAGGTCTGTAGCACCATGTGGGACCCTCGCCAGCGGCCGGGGCTCGAACCGGTGCTGCAGAGGCTGCGGGCAGCTTCGTAGCCCAGCTCTCAACTGCTGTGCCACCAGGGGCGGCCCTCCGACTTAATTTTTGAATACTGTAAGTAGATGGGTCAAAATCCAGAAGAACTAAGATCTACACATTGAAAAGCTTCCTTCCTCCCCTGTCTCCTAGACATGTATTTCTGCAACACAAAGACACCAAAGTGTTCAGCTCCTCCATATCCTCCTCCCAGACCCTACACACACATGAGGAAACACCCATGTTAATATTAAACTAGGGAGGAGAAAAAACCCGAAACACCAAAATGCAACCGAAGAAAAAAAAGCACTGCAGTCTATTTTCTTTAGCTCTCCAGGTCAAGAAACACACTCATCATGTATTCTTTAAAGCCTGAGTCAGGAAGTGCCAAAAGAAGTAAGGTTAGGCTGCAGCTGGACAGCCAACTTCCTCTACACTGATTGTCTTCCAGCTCTCTTTAGCTCTGCCAGTCTAAGATTTCTGCAGGGAGACGCTGGGGAACGCCGCAAAAAAAGAGGCTGTCGTGAGCTAGAGCAGATGCTGGTTCTAATCTACTGTCGGTGACACTGCTAGGGCCATCCCACCCAGTACCTTGCTGCTGCTGCATTCACCACCCAGCTTGCCCACCCAGCCCTGGGCTCTGCTGCTACTGAGAGAGTAGGGGGGCCCCGCCGCACAGCAAGCACCCCGCACGGCTCCCTTTATCTCCTTCTCCTTGGCCAGCACAGAAGATGGCTGGCCATCTTCTGGGATGTCTCCGATTATATCATCTGAAGAACAGGGCAAGGCCTCAAACCATTTCAGAACACTCTAGAAAGCACTGCAGGAAAGCCCTAAGCCAACCTGTACCTAAGCTTGCTGGAAGGTTCGCAAAAGTCTAGTTTTAATATTAAAAACAGTACGTGGGTAAGTTTTGAAGAGAGCCAACATGGAAAACTCAGTTACCTGATTTTGGAGGAGAAATGTGTGACATCATTCACTGTGGTTACTTTTAATAGAGGCTATGGACTGGGTCCTTACAGATGCTCATTTTGCTTCCTAAGAGGTGATTACTACCAGTATCCTGCCATGCAGTGAGGAAACTGATAAGCAGAGAGGGGGTCCATAACCTGCCTGGGATCACATGTGTGTGGAGATTAGGAATCTGGGTACAAGTTCAGGTTTATGAGATTCTGATGTCCTTGCTTTTACTCATGATCCCATAATTTTAAGTAAAAAAGTACACATGAAAATCAGGGCCTCCCTGGTGGCCCAAGGGGTTAAGTCTCAGCACTATGAAGCTGTCCGCGGCCACTGCAGGCACGAGTTCAATCCCCGGCCAGGAAGCTGACCCACAGGGCGCAGCAGACCTCTCCTGTCTCCCCGCTGCTCCCCTCAGCAGTGTATTTCAGTAGATCTGCCTGTTCTGCTCCCCACTCTGTCTCTGGTGAATCCTCTCACCCCCCACACCTCCGGCCTGTACCCCAGTTCTTGTATGCATAAATAAATAAATTAAAAAAAAAAACCCAACAGCATTATTAACAGGAGGCATTGTTTTATAAACATATTAACTCATATTTAGGAAAAGGAATTACTTACTTTGAAATAACATTGTTCATAAAAAGAATCTGCAATAAAGGTCCATCTAACTTAGTATTGTCCACCAATATTCCACTAAAACAGAAGTTAAAACATTCTTAGAAAATATTAAAGTAAAACTGCATATGAAAACATACTTTTGTAATTCTTAAATAGCAAAGACTCTATATTTTAGAAATAAAAGCCAGAGCTATCAAGAACTCTTGTTTTAAGAAAAACCTAAGCTTTCATCAATTTAGCCTACTTGAATGTTTACATATAAATATCCCTTACATTAAATATTTTAAAAAACATTACATGAAGAAATTTAAAACCACTGTTATTCTTTCACAGTTTTCAGCCAGAAAGTTTCCTTATCTAATAGCTAGTTTCTATACAAATTGGGAGGCTGCAGGTTATAAACCTATAAATTAGCAGATTATAGGAATATATTCCTAAGACAATCAGTGAATTTGACTTGGAAATATATGGGGAAATTAACACTTTATAAATAAATGGATAAGACTCTTGGCGGGTAGAGCACATTTCACTATCTCAATTCAAGACTCTGAAGTAAATAATAAAATGTGTGGTATTCCTGGATTTGACTTCCAAATACTGCAAAAAATAGAACTGAATTGCAGCCTGGAAACCTGCAATGCCTCTCTGCCATAAACTGGGGCCAGCTACAGCTGATTTCTCTTCACACCTGCCTCATATTGCTCTACCTGTATGGCATGTGAAATCAATCAGTCTGTATTCAGAATTATTGGCATCAAGAAATAAAACATGAAAAGGTTCAGGATGTTTCAATTTGTATAAATCTCGGTTTTTAAAAACACACAATGTTTTTTTAAAAACCACATTCAGGGCCTTCCTGGTGGCATAGAGCTTAAGTCTCAGCACTGTTGCTGCAATGGCCTAAGCTCAATGCACAGCCAGGGAGCTGACCCACTAGGAGCAGCAGACCTCTCCTGTCTTGCCCTGTTGCTTGCCTTAGCAGCGTATTTCAGTAGATCCTCTTATTCTGCTCCCCACTCTGTCTCTGGTAAATCCTCTCAGGCCCCCACCTCTGGCCTATACCTCAGTTCTACAAAAAAAAAAATCTTTTAAAAAATGAAAACCAATTGCATGATTTTTTTTTTTTAAACATTTATTCACCGGAGATAGAGTGGGGAACAGAGCAGGCAGGCTGACTGAGGTCCACCGCTGGGGGGAGCAGCAGACAGGACAGAAGAGGCCTGCTGCGCCATGTGGGATTCTCATGGTCCGGCTGGGATTGAATCTGCGCTGCAGAGGCTGCAGACAGCTTCACAGCGCTGAGCTCAACTGCCTGCGCCACCAGGGGAGGCCCCAATTGTATGATTTTTTACTGGAATCTAGTTTGAACAATCAGCTCTAACAACATCCTGTTGGGGAAAACTTCAGATAGACTACTGGATAGGGAATGTTATCAAGGAAATCATGCCAGTTATTTGTTGTGATAATGGGTATTGTGGTTGTGCAAGAAAAGTCTTTTTAAAAAAGGCAGGCTGATGGGGACTGTGATGATGGTGTATAGATGCACTGGTGAAGGAAATTCTATGGGGACTACACCTGAGGCAGGGCGGGGAGCGGGCAGCAAACATTGTTTAAAAATGAACAGTGATGTAAAAAATTTAGAAATTAAAAAAAATGCAAGCTGAAATATTTGGGATAAAATGTGTGTAAGAGATTAGGAGGGCCTCCCCACAGGCGCAGCAGGTTGAGCACCGCAATGTGAAACTGTCCGCAGCCTCTGCAGCGCGGGTTTGATTCCCAGCCTGCCAGGGAGAAACCCACATGGCGCAGCAGACCTCTCCTTCCTTGCCCGCTGCTCCCCTCAGCAGTGTCTTTGGTGTCTGCCTGTTCTGCTCCCTGCTCTGTCTCTGGTGAATTCTCTCACCCTCCTGTGCCTCTGACCTGTACCCCAGTTCTTGTATAAATAAATATATCTTTTTGAAAAAGAGATTAGAAGGAAATATGGCAAAATATTATTACATGTAAGCGATGGAAATATGAGCTTTAATTACAGTGTTCTTTCTAATTTCTGCATGTTTGCGATTTCATAATATAAAGTTTTAAAAAGTACATGATATTCATTGGATAAAAGAGAAACTTCTGATCACAAAAGTTCCAAGAGTAAGGATTAAATCAAGAGACTTGAGGTACAAATTTTATCTAATGATTTTATTTCTCTTTTTCCATTGGTTGTTTTGTAGAACACTTCTTTAGCAGTCTGACAATACATGGGACACTAATAAAAAAAACTAATAATTTATTTTTCATGACACCAACACTAGTTTCTTATAAACTGGCAAAACATACAATATTCTAACCTTTTGAACTCAGTTGATTATAACCCTTTTTCAAATAAATATTTAATATTTAAATTATCAACTCTATTAGGAATTAAATACCTTTAAATACATAAAAATTATAATTTTTGAAGAATCTTAGCTAGATTCAATACTCATAACTAACCAAAAATAAGTTCAGAGTCACAAAGTATGCTCATATAGTGGAAGGAAGACAGGGCATGGAAAGGTTATTTAAAATATATCGAAATTCTAAAATTTTAAACTTTTGGTCACGAATGTGATCAGCTGGTAACTCCAGCTGGTACCAGAGACAAAAAAGTGCATGTGAAATGCCACCATGGCACCCCAAATTCTGGAAGCTTGAAAATATCATTCCACATAATAAATTTGTACTTTGACAAATATTTTAGATTTAGTGACCCGTTAAATACATTTACACTGACTTGCGACATTCAATTGCCTGTTAAAATCAGATGCCTGGCTGCGAATCTATTCACTGTATGTTTTCAAAAGCACACCGCTTTCTCTTCTAAAATGCCTTATCTTACATATTTCTACTTCTGAACACATCTTAACTGTAAATAAATCTTCCATTAGAATACTATGATTTTAGGGCCTCCCCGGTGGCGCAGCGGTTGAGCGCTGGGTTGCGAAGCTGCCCGCGGCCTCTGCGGCGCCGGTTTGATCCCCGGCTGCTCCCCGGCCACCGGAGGAGGGTCCCACATGGCGCGCAGACCTCTCCTGCCGCCCGCTGCTCCCCTCAGCAGTGTACTTCGGTCCTTCTGCCTGCTCTGCTCCCCGCTCTGGCTCTGGTGAATTCTCTCACCCTCCCGCGCTTCTGACTGTACCCAGTGCATGTATAAACAAAACAAACAAACCAGCAAACAAATAAATAAAGCATGCCTCTATAAAAAAAAAAAAAAAAAAAAAAAAAATACTATGATTTTAATTCTAACATCCCATAAATGTTTACTGAATAGGAACAGCTGCTTGACAATTTGCATGTTCCAAACATTAATCAGAATTTTCTATATCGTGTCTCACAAATATTCCCACCTAATGACTCAGGTTTGAAAGGTTAATGTAGTTATGAGAATTCAAATTTCACCTTCACAAATTAAAGGTCATTCATTATTCTGACTCCTTGAGTACACTGAACAAAAACACAAAGATCTTAAACACACTTTTTTACCAATAAGTTGTGGTTCTATATTAAAAAATACAGGACACCGATGGTCCCAGCTCATACCTTGGTCGAGTCAGAATGTTCAATTTTCTTTTAAGTTCTTGATGTTATTACTTGTTAAGGAATGTAAGCTGTCATTAAACAGAATCACAAGGATCATAAAATTCAACTCCTCTCACTTCTGCTGTCAGCACATGGCAAACTTTAACACCAATATTTTGAGGATGACCCCCTGGGCTCCTGTTTTGTTGCTGGGCTAGGCATATTGATGAAAAAACTTAAGAGTTTTCAGACTTTTAAATTACTTGTGACACAGTCACGTCGTTCCAAAGAGACTAACAGGCAACCAAAAAATGTTATTCAAACAACGGTGGCCCATCAAAGTTAAAGAGCCGTTGGCTTAGGAAAAAATTTCCTAGTCAAAAGTATTAAGACTTTCGAACAAGTTCTGCTCCCCACTCTGTCTCTGGTGAATCCTCTCACCCCACCCCACACACACCCCTCTGGCCTCTACCCCTGCTCTTGTACGCATAAACAAATCTTTAAAAAAAAAAAGACTTTTGAACAAGTTAACGCAGTAAAACAAACGAAGACGGAAGAACCTCGGCGAGGAGTTCCGACGCCACCGCACCATCCCGCCAACCTGCCTGTATTTGGAAATTTCTCATAATAAAGCGTCGGGGAAAAGGGCATCACGAAAAAAACAAAAACAGATTTCGAAAACCTTAAATCATTGACCAGCCCTTTTCAGGGATCACGTCTCACGAGGCAAACGCCTGAAGCCAAGGCCCTGTGGGCACGGCCGGAGCAGCCCAGCGCGGCCCGAGCGGGGCCCGGCGAGCAGCCCCGCGGGAAGGCTGCACCCGGCAACTTAGGTCAGGGGGAAACTTTCCGGGCGCGTTTTCCTAAAGCCGGGCGACGCCTCGTCCACCGACGCGCCTTCAGGGAGGAGGGCCTTCCCCAGGACCCCCGACCGCAGGGAGCAGGGGCCCCTCCTCCTCGAGGCCCGGACCCCACCTCCTGGGGCCCGAGCGGGGGCCCGCCAGGGAGCGGATCCGGCGCCCGCGGGCCCGCCGGCGACTAACCCGAGAAGGGCCGGGAAGACCCCGGAAGCCAGCGCGGATCGCGGGGCGCAGAGCCCGGGGTCCCCGGGACTCCGCGGGCCGCCCCGCCACCCCAGCCCCGACTCCCCGGCGGGGCGGGCGGCCGGCCTCGGAACTCGGGCCCCGGCGGAACGTCGGCCCGCGCCTCCCGGGCTCGCAGCGACCCAGGCCCGGCCGCAGGGCCCGGCGGCGGGAAGGATATTTTCCGCGCGGAGCTGCTCGACGGTCTCCTCGCACTGCCGGAGCCGCTCCCGCAGCTCGGCGTCGCCCGCCGCGTCCCCGTCCTCCTCGTCGCCGTCGCCGTCGCCGTCCTTGAAGCGGGTGTGGACGGGCTTCGGCAGCGACTCCTCCGGGGGGTCGAACGCCTCGAACAGCTCTAGGTCGCCAAAATCCACCTCCGCCGCCATTTTGGGCTGTGGGGAGGATTCGGAGAGGCGGAGCCGGGGGCGAAGGTGGGAGGGCGGCGCCGCTCTCCGGGCCCAGGCCGCGCGGAGCCACCCGGTAGGCTTTTCTCCTTCCGCAGGCCCCTGAAGCGGCACAAGGGGCGGGCCAGGGCCGGGAACTACAATTCCCAGGGTGCACGGCGCGTCGCCGACCCTCTCCCGCGGTTCGTGGGGAGCGCGGCATGCTGGGACAAGTGGTTTCTACGCAACTAACTCATTGTTTGCAATGCATACTGGGATTGGTCCTTTTTACACGGGAAGCCGGCTGCCTAGACCAGATGAGTTGAAGCAGTGGGTCGGGCGGGTGCTGCACCTAAGGCGCGAAAGCCAGAGCCCGCCGCTTGACTTGTCACAGATTCTGGTGTGCGTGCTAACAGCAACCAGAGAGGAAGGATTTCCAATTTTGCCACAGGCTACTTTGTATCGAAGACTTCGGTTTGCTGGACCTGTGTGTCTTTTGAAATGAGAAATCATTTTTTTAAAAAAGATTTATTTTATTTAAGCATACAAGAACTGGGGTCTAGGCCAGAGGTGCAGGTGGTGAGAGGATTCACCAGAGACACAGTGGGGAGCAGAACAGGCAGACTGACTGAAGTACACTGCTGAGGGGAGCAGCAGGCGAGTCAGAAGAGGTCTGCTGTGCCATGGGGGTATCTCCCTGGCCGGCCGGGGATCAAACTCGTGCTGCTGAGGGTCTGGATTGCTTCATAGTGGGGTGCTTAACCCCTTGCGCCACCAGGGAATGAATATTCAGTTCATTAGAGCATTTTAAATGTTTCTGGTGACTTTCAGGATTGCTCTCGTTCAGTTACTCGTTCATTTGGTAATATTTATTACCACGTTCAGTGTGCCAGGCACTGTTCTAAGACCTGTGGATACGAAAGAGTAAAATAATTGCTGCTCTCATGACAGCCGAGTCTTGGAAAAAGAGGGAGGTAAAGTAAAGCACCCCTCAATTTTCTTACTCTAGAGGCGAGGTGGATGTTGATGGACATTCATTATAGGAAATATGTGAAAACAGTAAGTTACGGACAAGTTACAGGCAATAAATTTTGTATACTTTGGGGAGTTATTTAAGGCATTGAGGTTTGAGCTGAAACATGAAGTGTTAGCAGGGCAAAGTTGGCGGTGAGTATGGGGGAGGATGGGATTCAGAGTCCTCCAGGCTCAGGAACCCTCTTGTGAAAAGGCAGAGTGAAGCAAGAAGAGCCTGGAACTTAGCTCAGTGCTCACGGACCTGTTAGGTTTCCTGTTTCCACCCACCAAATCGGGAAGTTATTTTAAGCAGGTTTTTGACCCACACACTTTCATTTTGTCAAAGATAGTGTTGATTGCATGACATAAAAAGCACTGGAGATGGTGCCAAACTAAAATTTTGAGTCGGTAGACATAGTGATACATTTTCATAGTATTCAAACCAATAAATGTTTGGATTACAGAAGTGCTAGTGGGGTCGATAATTATAGACGTGGAGAATATTTATTTAAATTTATTTATTTATACAAGCACTGGGTAGTCAGAAGTGCGGGAGGGTGAGAGAATTCACCAGAGCCAGAGCAGGGAACAGAACAGGCAGACTGGCGAAATACACTACTGAGGGGAGCAGCAGGCGTGGCAGGAGAGGTCTGTTGCACCATGTGGGACCCTCGCTGATGGCCTGGGGATGGAACCGGGGCTGCAAAGGCTGCGGGCAGCTTTGCAGACCAGCGCTCAACCACTGTGCCACCAGGGGAGGCCCTGTGGAGAATATTTGAAAGATAAACAACAGGGCTAGTTGAAGTATTGGATATGAGGAATGATAAAAAAAGGGGTTGTGAATATTTGCCAGGTTCTGACTTAAGAAACTGGTTATCATTTGAGATAGACAATAGATGTGGACAGGGCTTGGGAGTACAGAGGGAGCTCCATTTTGGTCATGTGGTACCGTGAGACAATCTTATTCTTGTAGGTAACTTTATAGGGAAGTAACTGGACATGGGGAAGAAATTTCTGAAACATTTTGGTTAGATATCACTGCTATGCTGAAGGTAAAACTTGAAGCCCCAGTGGAGATAGTTTAGGCAGTTGGATTTTGGGTAAAGTTCTGAACTAAATAGGTTAACATTTGTGTAGTCTGAGTTTTTATGGAAAGTAACTTAACTGATAGTTGAGATTGCATAAGGAAGAAGAGTCCATTTTGAAAAACACAAAGGGTTTTGAGAAGGATGTTGAGACATTGAGAAGGCTTGGACAACTACAGATATTGAATAGCCAGAATGGGAGATCTGGGAGTGGGTCCCTAGAATTTATATATATTTGAATCATCTTTTGGCTTGTGAAATTGACTTTGCTTCCATTTCCTCCCACCAATCTTCTTAGAAAGCCGATTTATTTTCTAAGTTTAACGAATCAAAACACACCATCACCCAAGCCAAAAGGAAACCTCATTTTTGAATTTGCATTTTTTGTCAACATGTAAACACAGCTACCAAATCCTATTCTACCTTCTAAATTGTCCTCAAAGCTATTGCTCCGACACTTATCTTGCTTTAAATATTCTAGCCTTATTGCACCGCCTATGCATTATGGTGATTGTTTACAAGGGTAATATGGAAAATGATCATGTAGTGCAAGATTTTGAACTGAAAAGCAGCATAATAACAGCCTAAGGGGATAACAAGGTTTTAAGCAAATAAAAACATTCCCCCTACTTGTTCCCAAATTGAGCCAGTTAATTTTTTCCGTAGAATTCCAGTAATTCTTAGTTTAATCAAACAACTTAGAATTACTTATGTGCCTCCCTCTAGATCTGCATTGTCCAATGTGGTTGTCCTTAGCTGCATGGTGGCTATTGGTATTTAAATATGACTAGTTCTGAGATGTTAAAATACAAAATACACAATGAGTTTTAAAATTATGAGGGCCCTCCTGGTGGCACAAGGGTTTAAGAAGAAACCTATGAAGCTATCTGCAGCCGCTGCAGCTACTGCAGCACAAGTTTGATCCCAGGCTAGGGAGCTACCCACATGGTGCAGATCTCTCCTGACTCGTCTGCTGCTCCCCTCAGCAGTGTATTTCAGTCTGCCTGTTCTGTTCCCCACTGTCTCTGGTAAATCCTCTCACCCCACCCCACCCCGACACACACACTTCTGGCCTGTACTCCAGTTCTTGTATGCATAAATAAATCTTTATTTTTGATATACTGTCAAAATTTCATGTTTATATCTGGCTACCAAATTTTTAAAAATCTCTAACTTGTGTTTATTTTTGGTGACACTACTGCTCTAGAAGAGTGTAACATGCATTATATTCATTCGCAAATGGCCAGCTCCTGAAAGCTAAGACATAGGAAGCACTTAATGTGTGCTTTCATACCCACACAAGCCCTTGAAAATAAATGCAACTGATTTATAAGGTAGAGCTGGAGTGTGGATTGTGATAATGAAAATTCAGTGTCATTTCCCCCAAAATTGGCTATGTTACTAAAGCACCTACAAAATTACCAAAATGTCTTGAGAAACATTTGCATTTTATCAAATACATTGAAAGTCTTAAATATATTTTTCATTTTGAAAAAAACATGCCTAACAAGCAAGTTGACAAGACTTCATAACCAGTTTTAGAAACATGGGAAGTTTTATCACTCTAAGCAGTGTTCCCACTTGTGCTGCTACACTGTGAAGATGTTTTCCGAAGAGTTTTTCTAGGCAAAAACTCATGAAACTCATGACTGCTGTAATGAAAGCAAATAACTACAGCTTCTATAGCCCCATCCCCTCTGCCAAATTCACGCCCTCTTCGGTTTAGTGACACAGGTTTTCTCAAGCTTCAACACTGTAGTCTAGTTAATGTTAGAAGATTTCAAAGGGATAATGAGCAAAGGGCATACAAAGAACTTGTTATAAGGCACTTTATTAAAATAAAAGTGCTTACATCCCTTTAATGTATTAATCTATTTCCTGAATAACAAGGAATATTTAACAAATACTGTACACCGATTCTATCCCTTATAATAGTAGGAAAACAGTATTATTTAGTAAGTTTGTATATACCTCCCACCTCACTTTTACATTTTTGCTCACCATGGTATTGCCTTTATAGCAACGTTAATTGTTCCTAAAAAAAATTTCTAGGCCAGTGTTTTCCAATAGCAATTGCAAAATGCTACAGAAACCATAAAACAAATTCAATCAAGAATTCCAGGTAACTTAAATTAACACCAGTTTTGAGAAAACCATTTTTATTATCACCACCCAGCATATTTGTGCTGGATTATGTACCAAATGGCCAGATCTTCTAAAGAACATCTACATAACATTTCTTTCATGTTTCAAGAGATGAAAATAACTGTACAAGGTTAAGTACAAAAGTACACAAGACAGCGGACACAAAAAATCCATGTATGACATTTTATCCCACCTGCAGCTTTTATATATTTGAAAAGTAGAATTCATGAACTAAAAAATATTGTCCTTCTATATAGTCCTGTCAAGTTTAATGGAAGTGGGTTTAACCTGATTACAACACTAACACCAGTATCACTGATCTGATATTTACAAAAAAATCGTATTTTTCAATAAATTAAAGTCAATGCAACACCCATGCAAGCTAGAATGCTAGCTGTTTGGTGAACAAGGACCTGCCATCAGAATCAGAAGTCTATAAAGTCCCAAATGGCAAGTGTGATCTCTTTTCAAACTGTGTCCATTCCTCGCATTGATGACGTGAACCCCAGCCCCATTCCTCTCTGCGTGTGGGTCTGCGATCTTGCCATTTCATACTGGGCATCCAGATTTCTAAATACTTCTTCCTGTTGCTTCAAAGTCTTATAACTTTCTTCATCAACTGAGCTACATCCAGCTTCATCTTCGCTCTAAACATCAGATATAAAATCAGGATGAATTCAGGTAGAAATAAAAAGTGCTGTTTTCACTTGACAGTAGCAGCCAATTTTTAGGGTACAAATTTTACTTCAGTTAACTTTGTTTACATTCAATTCACTTAAGCACCCATGGAGTTCAAGGCAATATTCTTTCTAGGTAATGGGTTAGAATAGCAAGTATCAA